TTATACCCGCTTCATATTCAAGTTGGAATAAGATACAACTTTTTGTGACTTAATCCAACCACTTTGGTCACCTCCCCCTTGCACCAACTTCGGGCGACGGGAAAAGGTTTTTATTTAAATCGCAAACAAAACGGTATTCATGCAATCGATCACGTAGTCGGGGCGTTGTTGTGGCCCCCTGGGAGCCCACTTGCAAAACAAGATAAGTTGGAATTTCCCTCCCGACATCTGCGATTTATGGGCATCGAATTTTGGTTAGTATCGTTGCGTGTACTTTACCCTCTATGTTTTTCTACCGGACAGCGTCGCTTTAGTCGCGCTCGGTCGGCTCCGCTGGTCCGTGTGTCTCGAGATTCAAACTCCATTTCGTCTGTGAAACCACGGGCCATCTGGTAGACCCGTCGGACGGTGTGTGTGTGTGTGTGAAAACGTATCTGAAGGGAAGAGAGAGGCCGAGGGGTAGTCAAATTGGTGTGTGCGTCGAAGGTGTGTGAAAATCGTAGAAATTTATCGACAGTAGTATCACCGATTATGTTCATTTTATATATTTCTAATGAAATCTAGGTGTGTTGTGTGGTGTGTGTGGGTGTGTGCTGTGGTGTGTGTGGTGTGGGTGTGTGGTGTTGTGTTGTGGTGGGTTGTGGTGGTGTGTGTGTGGTGTGTGTGTGTGGGGTGGTGGGTGTGGTGTGTGTGTTGTGTGTGGTGTGTGTGTGGGTGTCGTGTGTGTGGGTGTGTGTTTGTGGTGGTGTTGTGTGTGTGTGGTGTGTGTGTGTGTGTGTGTGTGTGTGTTGTGTGTGTGTGTGGTTGCACGGAATATCCCTACAAAGTGATATAGCACGGTGTATTTTCATACTACAACTGTTACTAATAATTGATTGTTTCAATTGACAGGGAATGGGGATTCCGGAAGAGACTTGAGGAGGTTGGACTTGTCGAAGTGAATTCTTAATTATGTCAGATAAAACTATTGGTCTTCGTGGTAACGGAGGTTGACTCGCAACTGGGTAGCAGAGTACCGGAGGAATCCTCAGGAACGTTCTATCTTTATATGTTAATTGTTTGATGTATATGCAGCGTGTCGCGTTTATGTAAAGGGTTGTGTGGTTGTAGGGGATAGCAGAATCGATGGACGGAGGCACGCGTGATACTTGGTGATATGATTGGTTCGAAATTGACTAGTTAGCTGCCTTTGGAGAGAACCTCTAAGGTAGAGCGGGAAATGTAAATGAAATGTACCGCAATGTAGACGCAGATTAGGAGAAGATTATAGACCTTGACCGATGTATTTATATAATATAAACTCTTCTAGGGGTTCTGAACGCATTGTGATTCGAAGAGACATGAGTTTCTGACTGCCGCTAGCTGAAGCTTGGTTGCTAGGTTACTAGCTGGGTGTTCTCCGATAAGGGGCCAGGGGAAACAAAGTTAGTGATTACTGGTTGCATGTTGATTTATTTCAATACAAATGGTTGGGGGGAACTAAAAGGCTATTACTGTACTGGTTACTTTGCAGCCCGGACATTTCCCCCAAAACACATTTTAGACTTGATCGAAACACAGAAGTACCTTTCAAATCCTATCATTTTTAAGACCTTCTAAATCATATTTAAGACCTTTCTTATTTTTTTGGTCATATTTAAGACCCTTTTTAAGGCCTTAAATTCAGATGATCAAATGTAAGACTTTTTCAGACTTTTTAAGAACCCTGTCTCCAGGGCTCTCGACTAACTGTTTTCACCATCCTCCCGGAACCGTCCCGAAATACATTCTAAGTCGTCCCGAAATTAATGTGGACCGTCCCGAATTTAAAATATTAGTTTTTCTACATTATCATTAGTTAAAATCATTCAAAGTCACCTTTAACATAAATAAAACATCATACAAATCTAGATGTTAATTCATCAACCTTTTTATTTTCAGGAAATAAGTCAAACACAGAAAAAAGGCCAAATAT